TCACCAAGAGCAGCTGTAATCAGTTAGGGCTACAGCCCCCTTTCATTTTTATCAGTGGACTTTTCTGAATTATCTGGTAGATACTGGTTTATCCAGGACCTACTAATGAACACTTGAGCTTGTAAGTTGCAAGAACAAGAACAAAAACCTTAGCAAATTTTTCAGAAGTAATACTCAAGCCCAAGTCCATCTTCCTCCTAGTGCGTGAAGTGTGGCTGGCTTCAGAAGAGAGCAGCTCTCCCACCAGCTGGTCTGTAGGATCTTACAATGTCCCCAACCCCGATACTGTCCCACTCCTAAGTGGCTGCAGAGGACATGGGCTGCTCTTGTTACAGAGAGTTCACTGTCCTTCTCTGTAGTGACAACACATGCTTGGCCCTGGGGCACCCTACTCCCCAAACTCCTCATTGAGCTCATGTGCTTCAAGATGATTTAGGGTTTGGACAACCAGTGTGTTAGGGTCCTTGGGCTGCAGTGCTAGGCTCAAGGATAAGAAGGTGACTTAAATAGGTCCCATAAGAACATCTCTCAGGATTTATGGAGGAATGTCCTAGAAGACAAATACTCTTTTCTATTGGATGTGAGCCAGTTCTGAGGCATCCATCTTGTTCCCACAAGGGCAGCTCTGTGAGAATAAAACTCATACAGAAGAGAGAGTGTCTATAAGGAAGAAAGAGAAAGAGTGAGGGTAGGGGAAGAAAGAGAGAAGGAGAGAGGGAGAGGCAGAGAAGAAGGAGAGAGGGGGAGGGAGAGAAGGAGGGAGGGGGAGGGAGAGAGGGGATGTTCCAGTGATATATTTTGGAGTTCTAAATAAAACATCCTAAGCTAGCCCAATCTAGACTTTTCAATCATGTGACAATTTTTTTTAACTTTTTGATGTAGGTGGCATTTTCTATTATTTCCAACCTCTAAAAGTCAAAATGGATATTACTACAAACATCTGACATGCTTTCATTGGGGACCTGTTGCCTTCTTGAAAAACAAAACAAAACAACCAAATCAACAAAAACCAAGCATCCTTGGGAGGCAGAAGAGAGCCTGACTTCATGCAATTTACAGTTCAATGTGAATGAGTTTCCAGTGGATTTTCTGAGAGCAGGTTTTGATGTGTAGCTGGGGAAGGCCACACCCAGCCTGTTGGGCTTTTGGCTGAAGAAAAAAGAGAAAGTGAATAAAAATAAAAAGCGGGGGCCTTTAAAGGCAGACCTTCTCTCATCAGAGGCTTTCCAGGGCTGCACAGGTGGCTGTGGCACATCTTTGGGAATCCCTGGGCTTGCTTTCCCAACAGCCTGCAAATGACACCAACACATCACACGGACCAGGTGGCTCTTTGTCAACATCTGTGATTCAGAGCAGCACAATGACCACTGTGTGAGCTGCGGGTTTTCATTTTTAAGTTGTTTGTTCTTCTTCATTTTCTACCTTATTTCAGTTTGACTGAATTATTTCAGACGGTCAGCCCTAAAGCTCTGAGATTTTCTCAGCTAGGTCTATTCTGTTAATACTTGCAATTGCACTATTTAATTCTTGTAGTGTTTTTCAGCTCTTCAGATCAGCTTGCTTCTTTTTTATAATGGCTCCTTACATCACATACAAAATTAACTCAAGATGGATTAAATACTTAAATGTAAAACCCAAAACCATAAAATTCCTGGAAGATAACCATTCTGGACATAGAACTTGGCAAAGATTTCACGACAAAAATGCCAAAAGCAATTGCAACCAAAACAAAAATTGACAAACAGGAGATAATAAGTTAAGAACTTCTGCAGAACAACAGAAACCCAACAGAGCAAACAGAACCTACAGAATGGAAAAAAATATCTGCAAACTATGCGTCTGATGAAGGTCTAACATCTCACACCTGTAAGGAACATAAACAATTTTATAAGCAAAAACCAACCCCACTAAAAAGTGTGCAAGAGACATGAACAGAAAAAAAAATGAGAAGGGCATTATTTTTTTTTCAAAAGAAGACATATATGCGGCCAAAAAGCATATGAGAAAATGCTTGACATCACTAATCATTAGAGAAATGCAAATCAAAATCTCAGGGAGATACCATCTCACACCAGTCAGATGGTCTATTATTAAAGAGTTAAAAAATGACAGATGCAGGTTGTGGAGAAAAGGGAATGTTTATAAAGGGCTGATGGAAAGAGTGCTAATTAGTTGAGCCACTGTGGAAAGCAGTTTGGTGATTCCTCAAAGAGCTAAAATCAGAACAACCATTCAACCTAGCAGTCCTATTATTGGGTATACACCCAAATGAATATAAATCATTCTGTCATAAAGATGCATGCGTGTGGCTGTTCATTGCTGCACTATTCACAATAGCAGAGACATGAGATTAACCTAGATGCCCATCCACGGTGGACTGGATATAGAAAATGTGGTACATATATACCATGGAACACCATGCAGCCATAAAAGAGAATGAGATCATGTCCTTTGCAGGGAAATGGAGGGAGCTGGAGGCCATTATTCTAACACAGGAACAGAAGACCAAATACTGCATGTTCTTGCTTATAAGTGGGGATGAACAAGGAGAACGCATGGGTACTAGGAGGGGAACCACACACACTGGGGCCTATGGGAGGGTGGAGGGCAGGAGGGGGAAGAGGGTCAGAAAAAAATACCTCCTGAGTACTGTGTATATTATCTGGGTGATGAAATTATCTGTACACCAAAGCCCTGTGACACGCAGGCGACCTATTCATATTTAACAAACCTGTACATGTACTCCCAAACCCGAAATAAAAGTTAAAAACACACAAAAAGCCAAAAAAAAAAAAAAGCCCGACTAATGTTTTAAGTGATGAACCCAAACAGCCCTGCCCTGATAGAGCTTAGGTTCCAATGAGGACAGCCAGAGGAGGAGTATAAGAAGTAAAAATACATAGTGTATCTGTCATACATAAACATATGCTATGTATGACATAGACGCAAACATTTGAATGGAAGTTAAGCAGGGATGGGGAAGGCAGTGCCGTGGGTGTGTGTGAAGATTTTCCTGACTACGCTGCTCTGGAAAGGGCTTGCGGAAAAGATGAGGTGAGGGAAAGAGAGTGAAAGGCAGAGGGAGGGGAGGGGCCGCCTGTCCCATCAGAGGAGCAGCCAGGACTCCAGTGTGGCCCGAGTGGAGGGACCCAGAGAGGGTGGGCCTCGCTCGAGGCCCATGTAATAGCAGGTGTGGCCGCAAAGCTTTGATTCTGTCTCTGTAAACACTCTGCCTTTTCCTTTGAGAAGGGGAAGCCAGTGAATTTTTTTTTAATAAAAAAAAGTTGATCCATAGTAAATGTACACATTTTGGGGTCCACGTGGTCGTTTAATACATTCATAAAATGTGTAAAGATCAAATCAGTGTAATTGAGATAGCCTTCATCTAAGATATTTGGTTTCTTCATGCTAGGAACATTTGTATTATTCTTTAGCTATCTTAAAATATGTAATAGATTATTGTAAACGGTAGCCACCCAACTGATCTATCTAACGTGGGGTCTTATTTCTTCTATCAAACTGCATATCGGTGTCTACTCAGCAGCCTGGAGGTCATCATGTGAGAGAAGGGAGAGGGGCTGAGCAGAGGGGTGACATGGTCAGATCACCTGTGACCACCCTGACAGTAGCACTAAAGATGGGTTATGGGAGAGGAGGCAAGGACGGGCCCTCAGACACCAGTGAGCTGGTGACTGAGGTGATTGTGTCTGGGACTGGGTGGCGACAGCATCCGTGGAGGAGGGCTGGATCCTGGCTATCCTTGGAAGGCATTGCCAACAGGATTTGCTGAAGGCTTGGATGTGCAGAGAGGAGAGAGATGTAAGATGAACCTAGGGATTGGCTGCAGTCAGTCAAGGGAGTCACCCTGTGCTGATGTGAAGAAGATTCTGGAATGAGGAGCAGGAGGGCAGTGTGATGTCATGTGGTCCGCTGCCCTGTTGCTTTCTCTCTGACACCCTTAAGGATGGAGATTGTCTGTCTCATTTGTGCGGTCCTAGTGTCTTGAACAGTACCTAGCATGTAGTGGGGATTTGATTTGTGTTTGTTGACTGCATTTTAAATGAGCACAAGTGCTCCCTGGAGGTTTGCTTCAGAGCAGAGCGTTACACCAGTCCCTGTCCGGGAATCGTCCTGTGCTCCTGCCATGGCTGGGACTCACGGGAAGGGAGTCTCCTGGAGCCTGGTGAAGCCCTTCTCCTTGTCCCGGGCTTTTGTTGGGAGGCTCCTTGTTCGAGGAGGAGCCCGCTGCATCTGTCACTGCAGCCCTGGCTCTGGGGTGGGTGGCGGCACTCCCAGGAACCCATTTACCTCCCGCAGGCTGGAAGTGTGTGATGAGGTTCCTTGCAGAGCGAGGCTCCATATCCCCAGCCTCCTCCATCCATCTCCCAGTGTGCCGTCGTTTTGAATCATTTTTGCATTTAATTTAAGAAGAGAAAGAAGAGGCCAAGACGAAGGAAGGAGGAGTGAGCGCTGTTCATCCACATCCCTAGTTCACGTGGAATTTTGTGGGCTGGGCAAGGGAATGGAGAATGATTTCCTCTTTCTCCCTTGGTCAGTATTGTAAATCAAAGCTGGGAGTAGTTGTATACCTTATACCACCATTGACTCTACACGAATGCTATATGCTATAGAATCATCCCGGTGCCTGGCCACACACCCCTCCATCTAGGCTCTGGGGCTCCCTCCCCAGCCTGGGGCAGGTGGAGGGTAAACTGGTCCCTGCCTCCCACCACAGTCTCCCTGGGGATCTGGGAAGAGGTCAAGGGCATTCAGCAAACACAGAGTGTCAAGGGACAGCCTCCCGGACTCAGAGTCATCAGCCAGAGCAGTTTTCCATGCTGTCCAATATTAGTGTCAGGGAGAATCTCCTGATGTAAGTGGCAGGATAACCAGAATGGGATGGGAGGGATCCTGTAGGACCCAGAGGTCCCAGCCGGTCCAGGAGCACAGAAGCTGACATGACAGCAGGTTTCTGCAGGGGCAGGGAGGTGTCAACTTGCCTTAATCACGTCTTCATCAGATGATCTACACTCCACAGATTCCAGCAGCTCTGTCACTGTGCCGTCCTCCTCCACAGAGACCACCTTCACTGGGACGGCCACTGTCTTCCCCGTGAGGATAGCTGTGTTCAGGATCTCTGCCTCCTGGAAGACCAAACACACCCTTCCATCACATCCCTCCTGAGACGGCCCAAACATACCCTTCCATCACATCCCTCCTGAGACAGCCCAATCACACCCTTCCATCACATCCCTCCTGGATGACCAAACACACCCTTCCATCACATCCCCTCCTGAGACGGCCCAATCACACCCTTCCATCACATCCCTCCTGGATGACCAAACACACCCTTCCATCACATCCCCTCCTGGATGACCAAACACACCCTTCCATCACATCCCTCCTGAGATGGCCCAAACACACCCTTCCATCACATCCCCTCCTGAGACGGCCCAAACACACCCTTCCATCACATCCCCTCCTGAGACGGCCCAATCACACCCTTCCATCACATCCCTCCTGGATGACCAAACACACCCTTCCATCACATCCCCTCCTGGATGACCAAACACACCCTTCCATCACATCCCCTCCTGAGACGGCCCAATCACACCCTTCCATCACATCCCTCCTGGATGACCAAACACACCCTTCCATCACATCCCCTCCTGGATGACCAAACACACCCTTCCATCACATCCCCTCCTGAGACGGCCCAAACACACCCTTCCATCACATCCCTCCTGGATGACCAAACACACCCTTCCATCACATCCCCTCCTGGATGACCAAACACACCCTTCCATCACATCCCTCCTGGATGACCAAACACACCCTTCCATCACATCCCCTCCTGAGACGGCCCAATCACACCCTTCCATCACATCCCTCCTGGATGACCAAACACACCCTTCCATCACATCCCCTCCTGGATGACCAAACACACCCTTCCATCACATCCCTCCTGGAAGACCAAACACACCCTTCCATCACATCCCCTCCTGAGACGGCCCAATCACACCCTTCCATCACATCCCTCCTGGATGACCAAACACACCCTTCCATCACATCCCCTCCTGGATGACCAAACACACCCTTCCATCACATCCCTCCTGGATGACCAAACACACCCTTTTATCACATCCCTCCTGAGACGGCCCAAACACACCCTTCCATCACATCCCTCCTGAGACGGCCCAAACACACCCTTCCATCACATCCCTCCTGGATGACCAAACACACCCTTCCATCACATCCCCTCCTGGATGACCAAACACACCCTTCCATCACATCCCTCCTGGATGACCAAACACACCCTTCCATCACATCCCCTCCTGGATGACCAAACACACCCTTCCATCACATCCCTCCTGGATGACCAAACACACCCTTCCATCACATCCCCTCCTGAGACGGCCCAAACACACCCTTCCATCACATCCCTCCTGGATGACCAAACACACCCTTCCATCACATCCCCTCCTGGATGACCAAACACACCCTTCCATCACATCCCTCCTGGATGACCAAACACACCCTTCCATCACATCCCCTCCTGGATGACCAAACACACCCTTCCATCACATCCCTCCTGGATGACCAAACACACCCTTCCATCACATCCCCTCCTGAGACGGCCCAATCACACCCTTCCATCACATCCCTCCTGGATGACCAAACACACCCTTCCATCACATCCCCTCCTGGATGACCAAACACACCCTTCCATCACATCCCTCCTGGATGACCAAACACACCCTTCCATCACATCCCCTCCTGAGACGGCCCAATCACACCCTTCCATCACATCCCTCCTGGATGACCAAACACACCCTTCCATCACATCCCCTCCTGGATGACCAAACACACCCTTCCATCACATCCCTCCTGGATGACCAAACACACCCTTCCATCACATCCCTCCTGAGACGGCCCAAACACACCCTTCCATCACATCCCTCCTGAGACGGCCCAAACACACCCTTCCATCACATCCCTCCTGGATGACCAAACACACCCTTCCATCACATCCCCTCCTGGATGACCAAACACACCCTTCCATCACATCCCTCCTGGATGACCAAACACACCCTTCCATCACATCCCTCCTGGATGACCAAACACACCCTTCCATCACATCCCCTCCTGAGACAGCCCAATCACACCCTTCCATCACATCCCTCCTGAGACGGCCCAAACACACCCTTCCATCACATCCCTCCTGAGACGGCCCAAACACACCCTTCCATCACATCCCTCCTGAGACGGCCCAAACACACCCTTCCATCACATCCCCTCCTGAGACGGCCCAAACACACCCTTCCATCACATCCCTCCTGAGACGGCCCAAACACACCCTTCCATCACATCCCTCCTGAGATGGCCCAAACATACCCTTCCATCACATCCCCTCCTGGATGACCAAACACACCCTTCCATCACATCCCCTCCTGGAACGGCCCAAACACACCCTTCCATCACATCCCCTCCTGGATGACCAAACACAGCCTTCCATCACATCCCTCCTGGAAGACCAAACACACCCTTCCATCACATCCCCTCCTGAGACGGCCCAAATACACCCTTCCATCACATCCCCTCCTGGATGACCCAAACACACCCTTCCATCACATCCCTCCTGGATGACCAAACACAGCCTTCCATCACATCCCTCCTGGAAGACCAAACACACCCTTCCATCACATCCCCTCCTGAGACGGCTCAAACACACCCTTCCATCACATCCCCTCCTGGATGACCAAACACAGCCTTCCATCACATCCCCTCCTGGAAGACCAAACACACCCTTCCATCACATCCCTCCTGAGATGGCCCAAACACACCCTTCCATCACATACCTTCCTGAGACGGCCCAAACACACCCTTCCATCACATCCCTCCTGAGACGGCCCAAATACACCCTTCCATCACATCCCCTCCTGGAAGATCAAACACACCCTTCCATCACATCCCCTCCTGAGATGGCCCAAACACACCCTTCCATCACATCCCCTCCTGGATGACCAAACACAGCCTTCCATCACATCCCTCCTGGAAGACCAAACACACCCTTCCATCACATCCCCTCCTGGATGACCCAAACACACCCTTCCATCACATCCCTCCTGAGACGGCCCAAACACACCCTTCCATCACATCCCCTCCTGAGACAGCCCAATCAAACCCTTCCATCACATCCCCTCCTGAGACGGCCCAAACACACCCTTCCATCACATCCCTCCTGAGACGGCCCAAACACACCCTTCCATCACATCCCCTCCTGAGACGGCCCAAACACACCCTTCCATCACATCCCCTCCTGGATGATCAAACACACCCTTCCATCACATCCCCTCCTGAGACGGCCCAAACACACCCTTCCATCACATCCCTCCTGAGACGGCCCAAATACACCCTTCCATCACATCCCCTCCTGGAAGATCAAACACACCCTTCCATCACATCCCCTCCTGAGATGGCCCAAACACACCCTTCCATCACATCCCCTCCTGGATGACCAAACACAGCCTTCCATCACATCCCTCCTGGAAGACCAAACACACCCTTCCATCACATCCCCTCCTGGATGACCCAAACACACCCTTCCATCACATCCCTCCTGAGACGGCCCAAACACACCCTTCCATCACATCCCCTCCTGAGACAGCCCAATCAAACCCTTCCATCACATCCCCTCCTGAGACGGCCCAAACACACCCTTCCATCACATCCCTCCTGAGACGGCCCAAACACACCCTTCCATCACATCCCCTCCTGAGACGGCCCAAACACACCCTTCCATCACATCCCCTCCTGGATGATCAAACACACCCTTCCATCACATCCCCTCCTGAGACGGCCCAAACACACCCTTCCATCACATCCCTCCTGAGACGGCCCAAACACACCCTTCCATCACATCCCCTCCTGAGACGGCCCAAACACACCCTTCCATCACATCCCCTCCTGAGACGGCCCAAACACACCCTTCCATCACATCCCTCCTGGATGACCAAACACACCCTTCCATCACATCCCCTCCTGAGACGGCCCAATCACACCCTTCCATCACATCCCTCCTGAGACGGCCCAATCACACCCTTCCATCACATCCCTCCTGGATGACCAAACACAGCCTTCCATCACATCCCCTCCTGGATGACCAAACACAGCCTTCCATCACATCCCCTCCTGGAAGACCAAACACACCCTTCCATCACATCCCCTCCTGGAAGACCAAACACACCCTTCCATCACATCCCTCCTGAGACGGCCCAAACACACCCTTCCATCACATCCCCTCCTGAGACAGCCCAGCCCTGGGCATATGCTGCCTGCCTTCCCTCAGCCTCCCTGCAAACAGCACTGGCCTCTTCTGCAGGATCACAAATCCTGGCGGGCAGCAGCAGCTGGGTGACCATGGCAGCCAAGGAATAATATTCTGTCCCCACCCAGATTTCTGCAGGGAAACTATGGTGGGGAAGGGGCAGAGGATATAAAAAGTGGCAGAGAAAATTTATTTCTAATATTGTGTTTGGCAAACACTTTTGTGTCAGGCGCCCTTGTAAGTGCTTTACAAATATTGGCTCATCAATCCTCATAGCATCCTGATAAGACAAGCGCTCTTCTTCCCATTTTACAGATGGCACAGGGAGGTTTTGTCACTTTCCCAGGGTCACACAGCTAGAAGTGAACGAAGGCAGGATTTGAACCCAGGAAGCCCAGCTCCCAAGTCCATGCATCAGCCAACTCAAATAGCTCTAAAGATGGACACAATGACTGTAGCTTAAGCAGCCGATGGGCAGCCAGAGGGGCCTGATGTGGAAGGAGCTTGGATGAGCAGCACCTCCAGTGTGTGGTACACGAGGGAGATGGAGGCACAGACAGCCCTCCCTCTCTGTGCTCTCTTGCTCTGGGTTTCTTTCACTCTGTTTCAATTTTCCAGGCCTGTATTGGGTCCTGGCCTCTAGACGTGTCTGGAATGTTATTGTGGCTCCAGCGGCACTCCCACACCCCCACTGATAAGACCCACGACACACAAGTCACAGCCACACTCACCCAAACACACGTTTTGCTGTAAACCCTTCGCTCAGAGAGCAGCTCAAGACGTGTGCCTTTAGGGATGTCCCCTGGCTTGCCGCAAGTATAAGCTTCCAGAATCAGAATGTCCTGAACCTTTCCCCTTGGTAGCACCTGACAGTGGCTATTTCACTTTTCCTTATAGTTCTTTAATCCTCTTCCAGACTCTAAGCTCCATGGGGCTGTATCTGCTTTCTGCTCACCAGCACCTAGCACAGAGCTTAGCTACATGAATGGTGTTAATATTCGTTGAGTGCATGAATAGGACTCAACAGGGAAAGGACTGGGATTCACATCATCCCCTTCTTGCTCCCCAGCCCCTCACGCTCTGTGTGAATCCTGTTTTTTGCAGGCACACCTATGCCTCGGTAGTGTTTCCCAGACATCAAGCATCTCTGATACCGTGAGTCTCTCTCTCCAATGCACCCATCCTCAGCCTCAGTTATTGTTCTAGAATTCTTGTGACTTTTGAATTGGTGGGGGCCTGAGAAATCACAGGAGCCCATTTTTCAGATAGAGAAAGCTAAGCCTTAAGACCCAGTAAGTGAATCTCATTCTTTTCTGCAAATTGCATTTTCTGTTACAAAAATGCAGAAGTCCGAGTATAACCCCACATCTCAGTGTAATACAACTTCCGGGACCCAGCTTGCGACGTTTTTCACTCCGTTTCAGCTCATCACATGACAGTGGTGTCCCTAAGGGGCGTTTTATCAACACGCGACATTGCATTTCTTCTGTTAACTCTGAACGTGTCTGTCTTTTCTTTGAGAGGATAACACCAAAAGGGCTGGGTGGGCGCTGGTTAGAGTGCATCTGACACAATTGTCGTTTTACTTCCGCTTATAGTTATTCAGTCACGTTATCTTCTCTCTGAGACCGTGAGCTCAGTAGGGCTGTATCGGTATCATTTTGAGAGATGGGCTTGCAAAGACTCTTGTTACTTTGATTTTCGTTTTTTCTTTTTAAAAAAATCAGGTTAAGTTTATTTATGATGAAAGATAGCTTTTTTCCAAATGTTTTCTTTGTTAAATTAGTATGGATTTTATGCAATTTAAGAGTTTTATTAATAGCAAATACAGTTATGTTAAATATGGAAGCAACTTCCTAGAACTATATATAGTTGATTTTTTTGTTAAAATGATACAAACTTTATGACCAAATCTACAAATTAAAAAAATTTTAAGTCAAAATGAATGTGATTTCATTAATTTTTAATTTTAATTTACCCATGTTCAATAAACAGGCTTCAGAAAGAGATAATCTTCTCTCATACTTATCGCAGTCATGAAAGACTGTCCTACCATTGGCATATTTCTACGCCAAGAATTATTTCTGCTAGTTACTTTGGTTTTCATGTGAGATGTAAACTGCCTGTCAGTAGTATGTGAGCAGAAGGAACGGAAGTTCCTCCTAAAATTACATAACTATTTCCTTTATGTTAACTATTTCTTAGATAAAATCTTATTTTTCCTTTATGGTATGAGATTTGTCTGTAACCAGCTCACTGGGGTTAGGCTTTGGATGTAGACATACATATACTGTTCATTACTTCAATTCTAAAAGACAAGACTGCAATTTGGAATGCTCCTGAATTTCAGAGACCATGCTTTACACAGTCGGAACAGGCATAGGCCTTCAAAGGTCCCATTATCCATACACTTTTAGCTTTTTCTCCTTTATGGGTTCCTAGCCTGATTTTATTTTATTTCAAATAAAAACATAGCACAAAAATGAAGGGCAAAATCAGCATATGATGCTATTTCCTGCTGCCTCTAGGCAGGAAAAATTAGTTTTAATGGCAAAAATCACAATTACTTTAGTACCAACCTAGTATTATTTTTCTACTCTAAGGGGTGAGGATCAAAAGGAACAAGTGGTACCCTGGAAAAAGATGGAACAATGCTGTGTAACTTTCTGGCCTAACCTGGCTGATCACAAAGGCACGAGACAGACAGGGGAGCCGTGTGGCCACATCTGACATCAGTCTCAACAGTTTCCCACATTTGTGGCACATAGTGAAGGGCATCTCTACTCCAACGATAAAAAATCAAAAGGCCTTTCATGTGTTTGCACATTCAGGTTAGTGAGTAATGAGAAATGACGCCGGGAATGACGGACGCGCGGCTGGAAGCCCGGACGTCTGGGGTGTCGCCTGTTTGTCTGAATAGCCTACGTCTTTCTGCCCACCGAGATCTCAGTGGGGCTGAGTGACTGAGCCTTCAGGCTTAGTATTTCCCTGCCTCCTTTGTGTATTTCAACTTCTTTGACGTCAAGAATTTTCTCTTTTGCACAGCTTTGCTTCTTTCCAGGAACTGAATGGTACGTGGATGACTCACAAAAGTCTTTAGACAAGAGGAGGACAATGGAGACCCTTGTTCGTCGCCAGAAGTACCTGCAGAGCCTTAGCTTTGCTGGAAACATGACCTATAACTGCTCTGACTTTTGGACCCCAGAAACACTTGAAAGCTCAGCTGCCTTATTGCTGTGTGTTCACCTTATCACAGAGCCTCGGAGCCTGGGAAATAAAGGCACAGACTCTCTTTAGCAAATGTATCTCCTTCCAATCAGCCAATCATATCCTCAAGGTCACTCCACATACCCATTCTGCCACTTGGGCATTGTGTGTGTGTGCCAGTAAAGCTCTCTGACGAAGCGTTACAGAACCGTAGGCTCCCCAGAGTCTAGGAGGAGGCAGACTAGCAGAGAGCAGTCTGGATGTGGTACTGAGAAAGGAAACGCCATTAAAGTGAGGTTTCAGATATTTTTCCTGGGATCTGACTCATTGTCATCATTATATGGAAGCAGTAACCATCCCTGTTTTGCTGGAGAAATGATGATCCATGTCTTAGTTTGAACCAGCTTGGAAATAGATCCTGGGACAAAGATTCAAGAGTAATTTATCTGGGAAGTTCAGGAAACTTCAAGAGAGAGTATGCAAGCGACACAGAGAAAAAGAGGCCACTAACAAGTGTGTAGATTAAAGCAGGTATCACAGTGGGCACCCGGAACTGATCCTCAGGGGCTGACGTAGATCATGAAACACATCGTATATTCTGTGTGTGTCATAGTTCATTTGTATTTCTATTGAGAAATACCAGGCTGAGTGCAGTGGCTCACACCTGCAATCCTAGCCCATTGGGAGGCTAAGGCAGGCAGATTACTTGAAACCAGGAGTTTGAGACTAGCCTGGGCAATATGTGAGACCCTATCTCTATAAACCAAGAGAAAAAAAATTAGCTAGGTGTGGTGGTACCTGCCTGTAGTCCCAGCTACTTGAATGGCTCTGGAGGTGGGGTGGGGGAATCGCCAGAGTCCAACAAGGTAGAGGCTACAGTGAGTCACGATCCTGCCACTGCACTACAGCCTGGGCAACAGAGAGAGGCCTTATCTCAAAAAACAAAAACACCTAGAAAGGCTGGGTAATTTACAAGAAAAAAAGGTTTGTTTGGTTCATGATTCTGCTGGTTGGAAGATTTGGCATCTGGAGAAAGCCTCGTGGAGGAAGGTGAAGGGAACGGGTACATGCAGAGATCACCTCGCAATAGAGGAAGAAAGGGAGAAGGACAGGGGAGGTGCCAGGCTCTTAACGACACTGAAAACTCCACTGCTGTCCCACACCCACTGCCAACCAGAGAGGGACTTTCCTTACTCATGAGGGATCCACTCCCATGACCCAAACACCTCCCATGGCCCCACCACCAACACTGGGGATCACATTTCAACATGAGGTTTGCGGGAACAGACATCCCAACCATGGCAATGTGTAAATGTGTGTGTATTTCAATAGATTGAAATACATTATGATGCATTTCCCTATAGGGAAATTCTCTAGAATATGTACCTGAGAATAATTCCACTGAGGGCTGAGGGAGCTGGGGTATTTATACACCAAATCCTGAATGCTGCTCCTAAACGGATCACGGCTTAGCACTTCCAGCCGCCTGCACATACAGGCAAAACAGATGTCTACTGTTTCGAAGGAAGCTCCCTATGGAGGGTGGCATTTGGACCTGGTGTGGAGCACACTGCTGTGCCAGGGCACAAGGGAAATGGGCAGGGCCCTGACCGGGTCTGCTATGACACTGCTGTGAAGTAATCTGTCATGCGGTGGGCTGATGGATTGGAACCAGAATTAGACTGTTTCATTGTTTTGATTTTTTTTTTTAATTTCCTCATGTTTCTGGTATCCTGACTTTCGGCTTCAAGTATCAGCATAGGCATTTATTCATATTCACCTTTGAAAATTAATTTTAAAACAGAGACTAGGAAAATAAAAGATAGAGAAAAACATTGCACAGGGGAAGCTTTTAAACACTTGAAGAGATTGATCTCGGCCGGGCACGGTGGCTACACCTGGAATCCCAGCACTTTGGGAGGTCGAGGCGGGTAGATCACAAGGTCAGGAGTTAGAGTCCAGCCTGGCCAACGTGGTGAAACCCTGTCTTTACTAAAAATAAAATAAAAAAAATTAGCCAGGCATGGTGGCAGGCACTGGAATCCCAGCTACTTGGGAGGCTGAGGCAGGAAAATCGCTTGAACCTGGGAGACAGAGGTTGCAATGAGTTGAGATCACACCACTGCAGTGGTGCCTGGGTAAAAGAACAACACTGCATCTCCAAAAAAGCGATTGATCTTTGTGTTAGACAGTTTGCTGCCCATTCAATGTCTATCCTGCCTTCCTTCCTAACAAAACCCCAATTTCGTTTGGGGCTGTAACATGCCTAGATAAAATGATTATAGTTTTTGGCTGCTCTTAATCTGTGACACATTTCTGGCCCAGAAGATACCAGAAAAAGTTATTTAGTGAGGCTTCCAGAAAATTTTGTGAAAAAACAAAAACTCAAAAGAAGACATACAGGCAGCCAATAATCATATAAAAAACGTGAGCATCACTGATCTCTAGAAAAATGCAAATCAAAACAACAATGAGATATCATCTCATACCAGTCAGAATAGCTATTATTAAAAACATTTAAAAAACACACAGATGCTGGTGAGGTTGTGGAGTAAAGTAATGCTTATACACTGTTGGTGGGAGCGTAAATTGGTTCAACCTTTGTGGAAGACAGTGTGGCGATTCCTCAAAGAGCTGGAAACAGAAATACATTTGCCCAGCAATCCCATTACTGGGTATATACCCAAAGGAATATAAATCATTTTATTATAAAGACACATACATGTGAATGCTCATGGCAGCACTATTCACAGTAGCAAAGAAATAAAATGAACCTAGATGTCCATCAATGGTAGACTGGAGAGAGGAAACATGATACACATGCACTATGGAATACCATACAGCTATAAAAAAGAATGAGATCATGTCCTTTGCAGGGACATGGTTGGAGCTAGAGGCCATTATCCTTAGCAAACTAACACAGGAACAGAAAACAATACACCACATGTCCTCACTTATAAGTGGGAGCTAAATGATGAGAACACAGGAACACAGAGAGGGAAACAACACACACTGGGGCCTATGAGAGAGTGGAGAGTGTGGGGCGGGAAGATGAGGAAAAACACCCAATGGCAGTAGGCTTAACACGTGGGTGATGAAATAATCGGCACAACAAACCTCCGTAACATGTTTCCCTATGTAACAAACCTGCACATGTACTCCTTAAAAGTTAAATAAAATCAAACTAAAATTAAAAAAATAACAAGAACGAAGCAGATTCTGAAAGTTATCTTTTCTTTTTCCTTTCTCTTTGCTCACTAGGCATATATAATGCTGGAGTTAACTGTGTCTTGTGACTCGAAGGTGGTGGTATGTGGTTAAAAGCCATGTGGTTTCGGTGTAGTGAAGTATTAACAGTTACATGCAGGAAATCTCTCGTTGGACTTTACGTTAGTCTGTTTTCACGCTGCTGATAAAAAAATATATACCCAAGGCCGAAGAGATTTAATAGACTCAGCTCCAGGTGTCTGGGGAGGCCTCATCATCCTGGCAGAAGTGAGGGAAAAATAAATGCGTGCCCTACATGGCGTCAGGCAAAGAGAGAATGAGAGCCAAGCGAAAGGGGAAACCCCTTGGAAAACCATCAGGTCTCCTAAGTCTTATTCACTACCACAAGAACAGTATGGCAGAAATTGCCCCAAAGCATGATTCAGTTATCTCCCACCAGGTCCCTCCCACAACACGTGGGAATTATGGGAGCTACAATTCAAGATGAGATTTGGGTGGGGACACAGCCAAAATATCAGACTTAGTTCCTCTAGCTCCAACCATGTCCCTGCAAAGGACATGACCTCGTTCTTTCTTATGACTGTATAGTATTTCATGGTGTATATGTGTCACATTTGCTCTATTCATCTACCACTGAGAGACATCTAGGTTGATTTCACGTCTTTGCTATTGTAAATAGTGCTGCAATGAGCAGTCTCATGCTTGTGTCTTTATGGCAGAATAATTTATATTCCTTTGGGTATATACCCAGTAATGGGATTGCTGGGTCAAATGTATTTGTTTTTAGCTCTTTAAGGAATCACCACACTGTCTTCCACAAAGGTTGAACTAATCTTTCACAAAGGCTGAACAAACACAGAACTATGTCAGACTGCCTGCATTTGAATCCTGGCTGTGACATTACCAGCTGTGTGGCTCCGAGCAAGTTACTTCACTCTTTGTGCCTAATTCTCTTCAGCTATAAAATAAGGATAATGATAGTATGTACCTCTTGGGTTTGCCCTAGATTTGGTGAGTTAATACTTGTGGAGTTTCAGAACAGCGCCTGGTAATCAGTAAATGCCTCCCAATGTCTGATAAACAAGCAGAGATGAATGCTGACCGTGGTGGGTGGAGTACGAGGTTCATGCCTACCTGGAGACCCAGAATGTGAGCTTGTTTGGAAGCAGTGTCCCTACAGATATGAGGAGTTAAGATGTGGTCCTTATGGATTAAGGTGGGACTGTGGGTGTCCTTCCAAGAAGAGAAAACACAGATAGACACACAGGGAGGATGGCACAGAAAGATGGAGCCAGAGATTGGGATGATCCATCCATAAGCCGAGGAATATCAAGAATGGCCTCAACCCACCGAAGCTGGAAGAGGCGGGAAGGGTGCTTCCCTAGAACCTACAGAGTGAGCATGGCCCTGGTCACACCCAAATGTTAGACTTGCAGCCCCCAGAACAGTGACAGAGGGAGCTTCTCTTGTTTTCAGCCACCACGTTGTCACATCGTCACTTCTGTACAGCAGCTCTAGGAAGCGAATATGGTGAGCAGACGAAAAGGGAGCTCCTGGATGCTAGACACACGGCCACACTCGCCCTGGGCGTCCACCTCCACGCACGTTTGCAGAGAGAATTCAGAGCTTACTCATTGTAACCACTGATTTCCAAGTTCCGTTACTCACAGATAAATCACTATTTTAACCGATGCAGCCTTAACTGACCCTGCCGTGATTTCTCATCAGTCTTAAGCCAAGATGAGTACGTTAAATTGACTTATTATTTTTTTTTTTGTAATGAGAAAAAACATTTTATTGGTTGTTGTTCTTTTTTGCTCCTAACGTCACTACAGCCTCCTCGGAGATCACTTGCCCTTTTA